GTGCGGCCTTCTGGGCTAGAAATGAGGCCTTGCGTACTGAACTGGGATGCTGAGAGGGGACAGGTTTACATCCCTGATCTTTAAGATTCAGATGTTGAATTTGAATAAATCTCTACATTTTCTGATCCTGATAAGAGTTGCTTCTATATCTGATGGCGGGAAGCAGAAAAGCTTTTCTATTGAGTCTGTCAGTTGCAAGTGCTGGGCTGAAAGTACTTGGAGCTTTAAGTACTACAGGAGCAATATTTTTGTAGTTTTTCAGCGTTTTGTCTGTTGCTTTTGGCAATAGCTGAAGTACAGAGAGGCACAAATAAACCAAAAGTATGAAAAAAGTGTTTATGCTTTTTTAGTCCATATATATAATCTCCTTATGCAGAACATAAAAACTGAGGTTTAGCGCATTAGTTGGGTTTATTTAAGTTTTTGCCTTGGCCAGCGTTTCAATTGTCCAAAGCCTGTTTTGAACCTTTTTAACCTTAATGCCTGGTAGACACATTGCTTCGGTCTGTATGAGGGGGAGCAGAGCTCCCATCCAAGTCATCGGACCTGACGTGTGTGAGGTCCTGGCCTGTGCTTGTGAGTCTCCTGCTGCCTGATGGCCCTCATCCTCCTCTGTCTCCAGGACATTCGTGTCTGGGCTGTACTCCAGCATGACCTCCTCACTCCCATCCAGATTGCTTTTGAGAAGCTCTGGTTGCAAAACTGTCCTGCATTTGGTCACTGGTAGTGCAGTCTGCTGCCTCACTGAGATCTCATTTGCACCCTTTCAAGGCCTGAGGCAAAGCCCTTTCAGGAAGATGGCGGAACGGCCTTGCTCGCCTCCTGTGGCCTTTAGTCAAGCCTTTGCATTGACCTCGAAGGCTGGTCAGTTGGTCCTTCAGATGTAGGAGTCAGTTTGAAGAAGATTCACTCTATGTTGTACTGCATTGTCTTTCAGAAGTTGCTTAAAAAAAGATTTCTTGCCCATGAGGTTGGGGTTGTTTGTCCTGGAAATCCTGTAGATAATCAAAATAAAAGAAATGAGTTCACAAACAGGGTTTCATGGAATGAGTGCAAAGCAAACCCCCACAATAGCGACTTTGCTGGCTTGAAGGACTACATTTCAGCTAGTTTGAAAAAACACTGTCAAAATTAATCCTACCTTAAATAGATCCAATGACTTTTTTGTTTTGATTGGACATGTGCTCCTTTCTCCACCGCTGGCATTATTTTTTTAAAGTCAATTATGGATCCAGTGTGTAATTTTAAAAATGGTGCAAGTTCCAAGGGTGAACTAAACTGTGCTTGTGCAGAGTCCTCGTCTCGGGGTGAGCGCACACCTCGTTTGCGAGCACGGACTGTGCGAACATTAACCTTTTCTTCAGTTGCCTCTTCAGCAACTGGTTTTAAAATGATGCACAGGAGTGGAAAAGCAGAGGTATTATCAAGCTGCGTGTCCTAAAATGTATCCCGAGAGCTGTGTTCAGTGTAGAAGATCTATTTGGCTATTTAAAATCAGTTTGAGACTTTCTAGTCTCTGAAGATCTTTTAGGTTTGCAGAGTTGGTTACTCTGCAAACTGCCTATTTTTTTTTCTTTTTTTTTTTTTTTTTTTTAAATATGTGAGGTGTAAGTAAGTCGGAATGAGCTAATTTAGCCAATGGAATTTTATAACAAATGTACGAATGCTGCGGGTTTCCCTCCCTCAGCCCCTCCAGCAGAAACATAATTTGCAGAAATGAAAACAGTCCCTGGCTGGCTTTAGGGTTTTCTCAAAAATAGAAACAGTAGGGTTTGTCTGGCAGGGCCAGTTTCCTCACCACACACCTGGTGTATATCACTTTAAAAAATACATTATGCCTCATTAAATTACAATTAAATGAAATCATGATCATTTGTTTTTCTGGAAGGAAGATGTTTTGCATATTGAAAGCCTAATTTGTTGCAGGTGACAAAAAGGCTGAACAGATTATTTAATATCACTTTATTTTTTATATCGTTGCTCACTGGTTAGTTTGTGTATACTTCAGTAGCTCAGAATTATATTATTGTAAACGTTATTGCTCTCAAGATACTTTGTTTTATTGTCCTACCCTATCACACAGCTATCTAGCCACTGTTGTTTGCCAGCGTTGTTTATCTTCAGTTGCAGGAGGACATGAGATTTTTCCCTCTGAGTCAGTTTTCTTATTATCTGTCCTGCTGTTTACACGGTTCCTGAGCTGCCAAAGCACTTGGAGGAGCTGCAGAAAAACCCTCTTTGCAACCAGGTTTTCTACCTGGGGACCTGGGGCTGGGCACGGGGGACCAGGGCTCGGTGAAGGGCTGCCTCTGTTGGGGAGCTGGGGGAAGGAGCTGGTCCCTCTCCCTTGGTGATGGAGCGGTGGCACAAATATTGTTGTGTCCCTGTAGTAGAGATGAGACCCTCATAGAAGCTCAAAGTACAGGCTGGAGTTCACAACCACGGAATCTGCCCCATGATAAGCTGTTTCTCGTGACGGAGCAGAGCCTCCAAGCACAAGAGCTGGTATCTCAGGCAGTGAGATACCTCTTAGTGCTGTGACCAAGCCACTTATACCTATAAGCCTCTGATTTACATAGGGAGTCAGTGACTGCACTGAAAAGTAATTGCTGGCATGCTTTCACATGTGTTTCTGCTCTCCATTTTTGAAATTGGGCCATAAATTTAGACAGGCTAAGATGGAGGGGAGAAAAAGCTGTCTTAGAGTCAGCTTCAGTAGCTTTCAGGTACCTTTCTTTCAACTTAAACCATTAATTTTTGAAGTTGATCTTTTCTTGAAAAAAATGAAGTTATGTATCCTTTAAAAGACCAAGGAAATTAAGAATTTAGAGAATCTGTGGAACTGATACTTCCTTTATTCACTGCATTTGGAGAATTTTCCACTGACTTTAAGGGAAAATTATAATAGGGACTTGCTGTATCGATCTTGGGATCATTTAAGTCATGGCTTCGAGCTTCTGTAATGTCCTTTAATCTCTCTCAGCCTGTGAGCCTGGCAAGCTTTGGAAAGCTTTTCAAAATGTCCCTGGCTTCCCTCAAGGGGTAGTAAACCCTGAGAGAGAAGCCAAGTATGAGCATGCAGTTGTGTTGACATCACAGAGAATACCAGAGGGCAGTCCAGGGCCAGCCCAGCACTGCACCTTCCTCAAACTTCTTCCCAGTGTAGACCTTTTTCAACAGCTGGCTTCTCTGATCCCACTTCTGACAGGAGGGTCCCACCATGGCTCCATTCCCAGCTCTGGTCTTTCTGGTAACTACTCTGATAATTGCAGGAAAATGTAGTTGGGAATCTCTTAGCTTGATTATGTAGATGAGGAGCTGAAAAGACGGAGCTGTGTGCAGCCTGCCTTCAGGTTGTGTGTGGTGCTTGTTTTGAGCACTTCTGGTGTAAGCGCTGCTGAAGTAGAGCTTTCACCAATGTGTTTTAACGTAGGTGTGTAACAGCAGATAAATGCAGGTACAGATACATCATTTGCTGGTCTGTTGGTTTTGTCAGGGAGTCTGGTAAATAAGACCAATATATACTAAAAATGATGGCATTTAATTAATTGGCCAACTGTAGTGGCGGCGGCAAGGCTTTTTGGGTGAGACTCTCTTGATATGGAAGAAAATAAACCAAGACTAAATATTTCAGGGGTTTTACTATGTAGTTGTTTTGTAGTAATACTTTTCCTAGAGGACAGCAGTAAGCCCTGGCTGTGCTGAGGAGGCAGCTCGCCTCCGTCGCGGCTGGAAACTAACTGCAAAACGCCCGTGTCGGCAGCGACCGCGGAACCGTGCCTGGGGCACGGCGGGGTCCGGGGCTGCTCCTCTGACAGCAGTAGGTCAGGGAGAGCCCTGGGAGCTCCAGCTGGGATTTCACGTGGCTCCTGTGGCCGGCATTCCTGGCAGCAGTGCTGCAGGGAGCCTTTGGGTCGTGGCAGGCGGGGAGCGGGCCGGGAATAACGTGCCTCCGACCCCCATTTCTTGTGGTACGTTAGAGGGGCAGAAAGGATCCCTCTCTGCTTTTTCACACACCAGTACATTTAAATGTCTATGGTTCCGGAAATTGCTCTCCCTGCTTTTTGAAGTGAAATACCCATTTTGATGCCTCGGGTGCAAGGGGTGCCTGGGGGAAGCTGGTGGCACACGCTGTGTCCCGCTAGTTTCTGTAGGCCCCCATCCAGGCTTGTGTGTTGTGCCTTTAACTTCTAAATAACCAGTGGAACTGTTGAGCGCATATAGTTATGCATAAATTTAATCCCATCATTACATTTAAGCCTCTTTTAATGACATTTTTATCTCTCTCTTTTTTTTTTTTTTTTTGAAGTGTTGTGCTGGTTACTTCCTGGAATAATGGGTTTTGTAAAAACTACGTGAATATGGTGTTCATTCATGGTTGCAATGTAAAGCCTGTGGTATTTTAAAATGAGACATGAAAGAACGGGTTAAATCCCTAAAGCTAGATTCTAAGGCTTTATTATTGCTCCATTTTTCTCCTCTCAGAAATGTCTGCCCAAACCAAAATGAACGGACTATAACATCAAAACCCAGCCAAACATTTTTCTTTATAAACCTCCTGCACTATTTAAATGTCGAAACTAAATTTACCAACCTTAGCAGATTTGTCAAAGATGAACAGGATTGCCAAGTGTTCCCAACTTCAAGTATGGAGAGAGAGAGAGAGATATCGAGAGGGATCTAACAGCTCCTAAAATATTTGCAGCAAGCACCTGGTGGTAACTGCAATTTCTTCTACCCAATGCACCTACCTTCCTATCCAGCATCTCCATACTCAGAAGCTTATTACAGTGCCAGAATAGGACAGTCCCAAAATAAACCCCAGCCCCCAGAAGACAAACACTTTCCTACAACATATCTCCTCTGGGAGAGCCCATGAAATTCTGATGTAGGATCTCAGTATTGCAACCCAGCTGGTTACACTAAACAAATTAAAAAAAAAAAAAGAAAAACCAACCCATGCCTGGGCTTTTTTTTTTTTTTTAATTTTTTTGCACCAGGGCTTGTTGTCAGAGATCCTGCGTAAAGAAGAAGACCCTAGGACAGCTTCACAGTCTCTTCTGGTAAACCTAAGGGCAATGCAGAATTTCCTCAACTTGCCTGACTCGGAGCGGGATCGTATCTATCAGGACGAGAGAGAGAGGAGTATGAACCCCAACGTGAGCATGGTGTCTTCAGCTGCCAGCAGCCCAAGCTCCTCCAGAACCCCCCAGGTAAGATGCGATCCCCTGTTCCCCGTTTGTTGTGTGGATTAGTCCAGGGAAGGAGCTCCTGTCCACCCTGCCCCTGCCTATTTCTCCCCTCGCCCAGATGAGTTGTGGAAATCTTTTTACAAGGTTTTGGAGTGGCTGTTAAGAGATGTTTAGTGGATTTCAGGAAGATATTGTGATGATGATTCTAGCTTTAATCAATACTAAAAATACAGAAAACCATGTAACACTGGTGCTTGAAAGAGTACAGGTGGGCATTACATACAGGCTGTTGATATATCTCCACTAAACGACTGTTATAGAATATATTATAAAAAGACAGTGGACATAACTTTTTGTCTGTGTCCATTACATCCTGCAGAACACAGAGGAAGTTTCTGGGCTTGTGCAGAGGTTCATGTATGTTGCAATAAAAAGTGTGTAATGAACAGAGGTCAACAGTGAATTAGACAGACATTGCTAGAAATTAGCGTGCTCCGTATCATGCATAGGAAATCACAGTCCTTGAGCTAGAGGTTTACATGAGTAATTATTTGTTTCTGAAGTACAGAAAGTAGAGATGAGCAGGATACTGGGAAGGAAGAAGATGCCTTACAGCTCCAAAGCAGCTGTCATCTCATTGACTTAACTTCACGTGTTTATTAACGTGCTGTTGCCACCCACTTCCCTGGTAGGTTGTTCTTTTGCACTAAGAAAGAGCATCCACATACTACACCGTGATAGTCATCCTCCCTTTTTATCAGGCTGCTTGCAGTCCCAGACATATACTCTGAAAAAGCGAGGGTTCTTTGCACAGAGGTGATGATTAACTCCTGTTGTGACATTTGCCTAACTTGAGTTTGAAATTTCTAAGTGTGCAGACATGATGGGTCAGTTCTAGCACTTCTCTTGATCTTTAGTATAAAAATGGGTCCATATAACCCTCCTGCTGTGGTGCTTTCACAATCATTTAGTCTGCAAAGCGTCGGGCTGTGTTAGCTGTGCTTATAATAGTATTACTGAGCACTTCTAATACCGAATTCTGTGGCCACAGTTACTAAAAATAAGTAAGCATTGAAGGGGAGGAGAGTACTTTTATGTGCAAACTGATCATCCTTAAGGAAGGTATGTTGATTTTGTAGAAACTGTTGAGCTTGTTCAGTTTAACCCTGACGTTTGTGTGCATTTCACCACAATACATGATGTAAAGAGCTGTTTTCGCTGAAAACATATCCTGCCAACCCAAATTTGATGCTGAAATTTTATTACATGGGAAACTCATTATACAACTCCTACCTTTTTTAGTTACCTGTTAGTGAAAATGAAATTATAAAGGGAACTATTTTAATGTTTTGGGAGTGTATCATTTTACGCATTTATATTTATTCATAAAAGAATTAGCTTATTGCTACTTTTATTTATTGCAATAGATTTCACAACTAAAACCAAATAACAGAAGGAAATAGAGAGGTTAGATGCAATCTAGTGAGAATAAAAATTGGATCTGTTGCCCCATCTCATTCCTGTGTCAAAATATGACATTTTCGCTGTGTTCTAGCTGCAGCTAGAACGCAATTTAAAATAATGGAAATTTTGCCTGCCTTTTTGAGACTAAGCGTTGCTAGAAAACCATACTCTATAAGGATAAAGCCTTATTTTGGCTTGAAAACTCCAGTAGAATATTGTGAGGTTTTTAATCAGCAAAAGCAACACACAAAGGTTTGTGTACCCAGTACTCGCCTTGCGCCCGCCGGATAACATGTCCCAGCCCTCAGAGGGCCAGCACCAGTCAGCACAGGTGCTGTTTTGACAACTTGGACACCTCTGCAAATGAGGCTGCTTCCCAGCTCCCAGGCAGGCAGCACGGCTACTGCGCTTCCCCATATGCCCGGTATTAGTCCTGACGAGACAAATGCCATCCTGGCGTGCGGCGCAGCGATGCCCGGCAGCGTTGCCTCCCCAGGCAGGTAGGTTACCTGCCCTGGAGCGGGGTGCTTTGGGATGGCAGCGGTAGGAGCTGTACCATCCTGCCGGGCATCGCGTTTCGGTGCCGGAGAAGTTGATGGAATGGCATTTGGAAACGTGGTTTCCATAGATACTGATCTCCTGCGGCAATACTTCTGGGAAGGACGCGTGAGTGCAGTGGGTAGGAGGAGAGCTCTGGCAGATGATACCTGTGGAGGTGCCGGGGCAGTTGTGCAGGCAGGTGTAAGGGCACGCAGAATAACCCGGATCGGTTCTCTGAGCTGGCCCCTTGCCCACCTCACGGGTGTCCCGTGCTCGGGACCTACCCCAAGGTGAGAAGGGCAGATTGACACGGCAGACGGGTGTGAGAGCTGTGGGGAAGAGGTTCTGAGCTCCTAGGGGTTATTGTGTGCACGTGGAAGACCAGCAGTGACAGCTGGGTTTGAATGCTCTGGCACTGTGGTTACAAACACTTCTTTTTCTTTTTTTCCCACTCTTTACAACGAGACATTTCAGTAATGGCAAACTTCTTGTTAATATCAAGACCAGTTTTGAATCTAGGCCTCTAACATAAAATACTTTATTTTAGTCGCTGTGATATTCTGGTTTGGTACTTGCCCTACCTATTTTGGTGATTAAATGAAGAAACAGCACAGGTTTCAGGGTGTGTAGGGCAGGCTCATTTCTGACGTGCGGCCGTGGAGCTAGCAGTGTAGGAGACCCATACAGAATGGAGCTGTATTTTAAATCTTTCTCTGACATACTAATTTTGTTCTTCCCAGGATCTCAGGCCTCCATGACGGCCTTTGAGGCCATGGTGACCTCAGCTGCTGCGTTAGCCAAAGGCTCCAGAGACTGAGAAGGGTTGCTTTTTTTTTTATACCCTTCAAAGCACTGCAAGGCTTTTGGTAAAATTAAGCTCCATTAAATGAACCCTGACAGATTTGGACAGTCCTCTGCCTTCCCATGATCTCTTTGTTATTTTCTTATGTTTCCCACAATTGCTGTAACTCTCATCTAACTCTGAACATTGAGTTTTGGAGCCTGGTGTCTCTGTCAGTCCGTCCGTCGGGCTGTATCCCACACATGTCCATTGCCCGTGGATGGTGGTGGGCATAGCAGTGGCCTCCCAGGGCCTGGTCTGCCCCAGCTCCCGTCCAGCTGCCCCTGTCTGAATGCCGGGGGCTAATCTAGGCAGGAGGAGGAAAATCTTAGGGTCTTTCTACAAGGGTCCTGCCCCACAAGCCCAGAGGAGTGCCTGCTGAGCTTGGAGGTAGGAAAGGGAGAAGATAGATATTGGTTAAAGCTTTATCTGGAAGCGGTAGGAAGAGTGATTAGTCTAGATTGTTGTCTTGATTGGATTTTGGCTCTGTTATTAACGTGGCCTTTGGTACAAAACAGATGTTAGGGAGAGGAAGGTTTGGAGGACAGCAGCAAAACAGAAGGAGAAGTTCAGAAGGTTTGGTTTTGCCTAGTTAACCTTCTCATTAACAAATAGGCATTTGGGCATGTCTGCCTAGTTAAAAATTAACCTTAGATGTACTCTAGCAGGGCTTCAACTCTGGCACAAAAACAGGAGCCAGCTGAAAAAGTTTGTAATTGGGCCAAATATCTGAATGTCACCAGGGTTTATAGGAGGTTTGGATCTGTTGGGAAGTGTGAGCTTTGCCACCTAGGTTGTTTTGTTTCCTAAGACCTTTACATCTCAAGAGAAAACAGAGGTTTTATATCAGTAACCTGCATATTACCCTTTAAAGGTATAAAATTACCAGGGATCAGCCCTGGTATCGCTTCTCTTTATGCTCAGGAAGGCAAATGAGAAGTGTCTCTCCAATGGCTGCTGGTGCCAGGAGCCCCCAGCGAGCATCGCACCACCCGCGCTCCCTCGCCTGCCAGTACGTTCTGGGCACTGCCACGGCCCAGGGGCTTTAAAATAAAAGTCTTGTAGCAGCCTGCTGAACTGTATTGATAGAAGCCTTGTAGGGGTAGTACAGCCCGGGGAAAGTACTGGCAGCATCCGTTATTGTCCTTCATTTGTCACAGAAGCTGATGGGAAATCATTCAATTAAAAGGAGTGCAGCGGAATACACAAAATCTCAATATGAGTTTAGGAGAATGAGGGCAGCACATCAAAGGCATGCCAAAGCCCAGCTTTATGAAATGATTTTTTTTTTTTTTTTTTTTTTTTCCACTGATTTCCTAGGTGAAATTAGGTGACTGTCTGGCTAGCATAATGATGATAAAGCTGGGAAACCATACATACTCAAATGACATACGTATAGTTTTAATAAAGGATGAGGGAGACTTGAGGGAGTGCATTAAATTGAGTAATAATTTATTATTTAGAGACCTCTACCCATTTACTCATTTTTTCTGGGAGAATTGGCTCTTCCTCCAAGGTGTGGGCCACTGTTAGAGAGGGGGGAGAAGGCAGAGGCTGGTGCCTCTGCCGCAGTAGCTATCTGGCAAAGCCAACTTCAGCGCCTGCCTGCCGCCGAGCGCCCCGGCTACCTATCCTGTTGTTGAGCTGCTCAATAAACATGCTGGGAGAGGGAGAGGGGGAGAGTTGACAGGGCCTTGCATGTCCTATAGGAATGCACTGCAATTATTTCCAATCACAATTAACCTGATTAGAATAATGGACAGGAAGTGTCCCTCTGTAGCTAATGCAGTTTGGCATCAGCTGACTGAAATCCTTTGATAATTTCTGCACAGATGGCTGGGCTGAAAGCAGCACTTTTTTAATTATTATTTTCATGGTCTCTTGGTAGGCCAAAACCTCGACACCAACAACAGACCTCCCCATTAAGGCGGACGGCGCCAACGTCAACATCACAGCTGCCATTTATGACGAGATCCAACAGGAGATGAAAAGGGCCAAGGTATCTCAAGCTCTGTTTGCCAAAGTGGCTGCCAATAAAAGTCAGGTGAGTGGTAGAGGGGATTTCGTTATTGTGGGGCTTTTTGGGGTTTTGTTTTTAAAGCAAACTCTGAGGTTGGAACTAGACCCATCTCCTCCTCCCACCAATAAAAATACATCTGTTCCTACAATAATAATAATCTTCATCTCTGGGGAACCTGTTGTGTTTTTGGCTTTTGCCTGCTTAAGTGGTTTCCTTTTCCCTTTTAAAATAGGCTGAGGAAAGGATGAGCTCACAGCCAAGCTTTTTCTCCCCTTTTGTACAAACACGCATGTCTTTTCCCACTTGTGGTATATAACTTACACCTCTGCTAGTGGGACAAGGACCTTTCAAAGTGGTGGTATCCTTCTCATTTGGCAGGTAAAGCAATTGTTTTCTTAAGTGATTAACTGAGGGAAGGCAATGGGAAACCACATATTAGGCAGGTGTTTCCTTTTTTTTTCGCATGTTGTATGTGCTGCATGCGGTATTGCCATGTGAATAATTCACATCAGATCCAATCATTTTTACAAAAAGGCATGAGAGGCCACTGCAGTGAGTTCTCCTGGATTAATTTCCACCTTGGGTTTAAAAAATACATGGGGGGAAACCTAGGTCGGGGTGAAATTCTTGAAGAGGATCCATTAATTTAAAAATTTCATCCAACTCTTTAAAAAAATATAATGCACCAGAAGGGATTTTGTTGAAAGGAGGACAGACAGAATTTTTTGTGGGAAGGGCAGCAAGTAGATTGGAGACCGTTAGAAGGAATTGTTTATTCGGTGAAAAGGGCTGCTTATGATCTTGGATGAAATTACTCGGTGGTGCTAGAAGAGTGCATCAGCATGCACACAAAAACGTACAAATGTGTCTGTGACAATGAGACAGTGGGATAGAAGTACTAGATGCATGCACTCTGCAGAATATATACTTTCTTTTCCTCTGTGTAGGGAAACAACGTTGTAGTCATAAAAGTAGATGTAAAATAAGAGGTTGAAAGGCATATAAACAAAGCATCAAAGGCTATCAAAGCACCTGGGAGAGCCTTGTCCTTGTTACAGGTATTTGTTCCCTGACACACGAAGGTCTGATTCATTTTCCCTTCCTCATTTAATCATTAATTTTCTTTGCCTTTTGCTTTCTCTTGTCAGGGTACAGGGGTTACAGTCTGCAACCCCTCTGCCCCCCAACAAAATCCCAGGCACAGTATGAAATACATAAAAGGAAAATACCATGGAACCCTCTTAAACTGTTAAATGCATAAAAATCTCATGTACCACATGGCAAAATATAATGAGAACTGGAGCTGTTAAACGAATAAAGCTGTTAAAAGCATAATGCCACTTGGCACAACTACTGTGCATTTAACGGTTTTCCACTGTGTAATAAATGACATATGTGGTAAACGTGCAGTAAATATAAAAACTGCACAATTGATTTTGCAAACGTGCCCCTTATTCTTTACTCCATGCAGATATCAAAGTTCCACCCAGAATCCGGACTGGACAGCTTTTAATAAGGAGTGTTTAACACAGACTGAATGCCAGCCTCTCTGAGGTTTGGCTTAAAATTGCCAGCAAGCTTCCTGTCATTATACCCAGAGGCTTCTTGAAATAGAGAGGGACTGAACCACCCAACAATAATTTGGGTGGCTCACCAGCTTCGGTCTGTGCCAGCTTGAGTGCACTTCTCTGGCAGCGCTGCACACCAGCACCAAAACAAAAATAAGCCCCATAGTCTTTCACGTGGAAAAAGAGCAGGGCAGATTTTGAAAGCCAGATGCAAAAGGTTAAAGAACAGGATCCACAAATGTTCTTGTTTAAAGCAAAGTTACTGCACATAAAGGTTTTGTTTCTTCAGCAGCAGCGAATAAAGAAGTGTTTCTCAGGCTGATGTTTCTTTTGTTTCACAGCCCTGCCAAAGCAATACTGGCTCCCTGGGATGACCCAGCATTCGCCATGCTGAGATGTCATAGCGCTCTGCTGGAGCATGAAAGTGGTTTATGGGGGCACTGGAAGGCAGGGACAGAGAAGCCGTAGCCAAGAGCCATAGCGGTCCGGGGCCTCCCTCTGCCCCAAAGCCCACCTGCGTGCCTGCCCCCCAGCCTGGCTTGGTGTGCCTGTGGTGTCCCACTGCTGGCTGGGGTGCCCTGTGGCCAGGAGGAATGCCAAAAGTGAGGACACAGCTGCTTGTGTAGGGGAGAGCCACTGGGGTGGCTGGCGTGTTGCCTTACATCTAGCTTGTCTGAAAACGAGCGGTGGGGCTTTCCCAGTGCTTTGTGCAGGCCAGTTGTGCCAGTCATGGGCATTTTGGTGAAGATGCTGCTGATTTCAGCAACTGAGTGACGTGGTGGGAAGTGCTCATTGAAAGCTGCCCATGTTTGCAGAAGAGAGAGTTTGAAAGAGGGGGAAAAAAGAGCTAGTCTGAGGGTTTGCTTGGACTCTCCGCCAAGGTTCGTTCACTTGCTGTTCTCCACAGGCCTGTCTTGCATTGCATTGGCTTCCCCTATTATTCCCTCACCCCAGACTACTGAGAGGCTTCCAGTTTGCTAACAAGGCATGTGTTATGTTGGGCGCTGCTGTTCTGTCAACAGCAATCCACGGTGCTGTGAGATCTTCACAGTTTTAGCAGCCAGTGAATCTCCGACAGGGCTGTTTTGACATTTTATACGCAGGGCTGTATGTCATGTACCCAAGAGAGCATCCAGAGCCAATGGAGGCCTCATTTCGTCTTCTGTCTTCATGCAGGAAGAGTGGTACCCACTGAGAGCAGTTATTACAAGTGGCATCATCTACTGGTGGAGTTAATTGACCTCTAATTTAACAAGTAGCCATCTTTATTCTTAAGTCATGGCAGAGTCTCAGTTCCACAGCTAAAGGGAGGAGCAGCTGCTAGAAACGGAGGTTACAAATCACAGAGCTCACAAGTCAACATAAATGCAAGGAACAGGGCCTCAAGGAGGTACCAAGGTAATATGGTGAGACTTCTTTAAAGGAGTCCACCTCCATAAAGATCTCAAGCCGTGCATTTTAGACATTGACTTATTTATCAGTTATTTACCTTAATATGCACTTTATTCCTTGCAACTTATATCTAGACATTTTTAGTCTTGTTTGTGAAGTGCTGTGCATCCCTTTGTATTTTTGAAGGCAGCAGGAGCTGAGGGGCTTCGTGCTCTCCATACAGCCTCCAAAGCTGTCATCGTGTTTCGGTTGCCAGCTGTTAGTGATGTACCCACTGGACAGCATGCTTCTCTGGGGATGCTGCCTGCTAGTGCCCTTTGTCCTTAAAATGACTAAACCTGGGTCCTCTATTATCATGGTGGGAGTGTTTCTGAGTGTGGCCAGAACACCAGGATTTGGATTCCAATCTGTGCTTTTGGCTGTCCTGGTTATATTTAATTCATGAGGAGATAGGTTTCCAGTGTGCCTTTTCAGAGAGGTTCAGGTGGCCTGTGTGTCTCCAGAGCTGGGCAGTGGGACAGGCAGAGACTTTGACCTTGGTTTGCTGCAGGTTTGGACTGTTGGTCATGAAAACTGGCTTCTGCAACTGCTCTATAGTACAACTTAAAAAAGGAAAACCATTTCCCCCATGACCATGTGCCAACACTTCTGTAATACTGTGCAGCAGCATCACCCCTCTGACCTCTGCCAGTGAGAGTCCTAGCAGAGGCTGTGCTGTGCTCAGCGGACATTTTTTTCCTAGTCTATGCAAAATGAGTTTAGGAACATAGTTCTGTTCGTAATGAACAGTCACTATCAAAATAAATAGTGGGCATAACTGGCTGGAGCACTTGTTGATAGTTTGAGGGAGGTCAAAGTTTATATGGACATGGAGACTGAACTTCCCACAGTTCTAGGACAAGAGACTCTCCTGAATCAGGCTGGGGCAGTGTGAGGAAGTGGGGTACATGCTGCTGGGGGATCTGCCCCAGGCAGGGCAGATGGAAGGTTTTGACTATGACCAGTCCAGTGAGAACAAAAAGTAAACTCTTGAAACTGAAATTCTTCCTCAAGGGACTGGAATTTGTTCCAGTTGCACCACGGTAAAGCAAGAAAGACCCCGTGGAGCAACATTTGAAAAAAATTTTAAGCTGGCAAAGTTCAGTCTCTGGTTTGTATCTTTGCCCTGTTTAAAAATGAACAAACAAAAAATAAACTTGACCAGGGGTTGGAGTCTGGGGGCAGAAAAGCCCTTAGTTGAAGCCCTTCAGGTTAAGAAAAACACAGGCCTACGTATGGAAATCACTATGACAGTTCCTCACCTTTCCTTTGACTTGTCCTTTTCTTGAGATCTCTGCCTCATTGTCAAGATTGTCTGGAAGCCTGTTCTCTGGCGGGTGGTAGCCCCACAGTAGAAGCCCATGCTGGAAGGGACTCAGCACCACCATCACCAGCCCATGTCCTCACCTCCTGTCCATGTCCGAGAAGAAGGTTACAAGTACTGTGAGAGGGATAAGCAGCATCCCTCTGAGGCGGGGTTAGCTCTAGAAACCCTTTATTTTGTCCTTCCCTCTCTCTCCTTCCTAATTTATATTCCTTTGTATTCATTTCATATGATGGGATGCCTCCTCTCTCCCCTTTTAGCTTATAATAGGTATTTTCTGTGCCCTTAAACTAATTAGCTTCCAGTGAAGATGAACAACAGCTAGGAGAAACAGCTGGTGGTGAAGATGTGTAGCGTATATAGTGTGTGCATATAGGACACTTCTTAGTGCTGTAGCATCTTGGTGTTTATGATGCTGAGAATCTCTACAGCTGATATTTTAATGTCCTTGTTACACATGGAGGAAATACAGGAAGACATTTATCTCCTTGACAGAACTTAAAACTTCTTTGAAGTACCTTTGGACATTAGCTTCTTTTTCACAGACTTCTATATGCAGCCGCAGTGTGACCCCCATCCAGGACAGCATCTGCTGGAGTGCCTTCAGCCTCTCAGCAGCTGAGTGAAGCAGGGGTGGTTGTGGAGCTGGGGCTTTGCTCAGGAAGTCCTTGGCAGACCTGGGAGCTGATGGCAGGCTGCTT